TTTTGTTTTTTTCCCGTTTTTTTGTTTTTTTTTTTTTTTTTTTTTTTTTTGTGGAAATAAAGAGTGATGTTTATCATTTTCAGCAGTTCAAACCATCAACAAAGTCTTCAAGAGGGCCTAGAAGAAATGAAGCAGCAATACTTGACGACTGTCGAAAAAATAAGAGGTTGGTGGATTCAAATTGTACTACTTTTTGTGGATATGCGCAAGGTCTGATGACTTCTCGTGGGTTACGGGTAGGCTCACTGCCCACCCCAAAATCCTCAAAAATCCTCAATTATTTGATGGAGCAGCTTTTCAAAATAACTATACACTAATATAAACAGTATGCGCCTTGACCAGCGTATGGTGAAAGTCAGCTGGAATGGGCTCCAGCTCCAGGCCAGGCGGCATAGAAATGAATGGATTGATGGTATAAAGCAGTGTTTACTAGAGGTTTTGTCGTTTTACAGGAGACATGCTGCGTTACCTCCAGGAGAGCCGTGAGCGAGCAGGTGAGATGATCCGCACGGAAGTGCAACGGGAGAGGCAGGACACCGCCCGCAAAATGCGACGCTATTACCTGACCTGCCTGCAGGAATTGTTAGAGGATGGCGGGAAGACTACGGGGTAAGAAGCCATTTTTTTGTTAAATAATTGTCCTTCCTTCATACTCTGTACTTAAGAAGCGCTGGCACTTCTGTTAAAAAAAAAAAATCAAAAGGAGAAATGCTTAAGTAAATAAAATAAATACACACTCTGAAATGTTTCGAGCGTGTGTGCTCATATTGAAAGTTAAAAAAAAAGAAAAGTATTTTATGCCAACAAAAGAAATGCTAAATTAGCTGAGGCTACCTCAAAAATACATTTCACCAGTATGTAATTTTCCAGATTAAAAGAAGAATTTTTGAAGGACAAAAGCTGATGGGTTTTGGCTGGGACAAGACGCAACACCTTCGCCATGAATCATTCTTGGAGGTGATAACAACAAATAGTTCTCTACGATAAGGCCAAGCATGGGAAAGGTTTTGCTTCTCCGAATCATTTGCGTTGTTGTCCTTAATGCACCCAGGCTAAGATTTTTTTACCACCGTAGCTTGAAAAAAATCCTCAATCACGCAAAATCTCAACCACAGTTTACCTCTTTATTATTTTATTTTATTTATTTATTTTTTGTTCACATCGTGTCATCATTTGTATAGGTTGAAAAGTAAAAAGCCCATTTTGACATAGGAGGAGAATGAACAGAAATTGGTTTTCAAATGTACAAATTAAAAGTAACAAGTCATCAGAGAAAATACTCAAAAGTTCAGACACCAAAAATCTACTTAAGTACAGTAACTAAGTATTTTGCCATAGTTACTCCCCGCCACCTAATTTAACCCTCATGTGGGTTAATCGTGCTGATCTTGACATCTTCTGCAGGGCAGAAAAGAAAATTATGAATGCTGCCAGCAAATTGGCAGCCATGGCTAAAGTACTGGAAACACCTGTCAAAAATAAAGCTGCAAAGACTCACAGCTTACCCAGTGAGTGTTCTGCTCCACTTTACCTTTTTTTTTTTTTTTTTAATTGTTAACTCTGAATTCTGAGACCTTTTTTGTGTTGACAGCTTGCACGATGGATGTGTCCACCACTGGCTCCTGCCCAACAAGTAACACACATTTTTTGAAGAATCCTTCAACTTTATCGGAAGACAGAACCCACAGGGAGAAGATGTCGGATTTGGAGCAAAAAACGACTCCGGCGCGGATTAAATGTGTGAGCAAGCAGGACGCTGGAGCATGTGAGTCCTCAGCAGAAGCGCAAGTCTACCCTCACAAAGTGGCCACTTCGTGCCTTGCTCCCTTGAAGAGCAAGAGCAGGGAGGCGTACCTGCAAGGAGGACAACCAGAGTACCATGCGGATCGGCCAAACAACCCTTCTCTGGCGCAGGAGCTTCCAGTCAGGGATGATAGACGCACCAACTGGAGCCTGACCAGCAGTGACTCAGACAGCCTCCACATCCCTCGAGTGTCCTTCTCAGGAAGGAAAGTAGAATCGGTGAAGCCCTTCTCAGTGTCCGTCGCTGACTTTGGCGAGTTTGATCATCTCACCCCGGATACGTCCGACCTGACGGTTTATAATGACATTGCACAGGAGACTCGGACTTGGACACAAACATCTGCCCCCAAAGCTAAGATTAACACACACAGAGAGCCAACGCCGGGCTCAGAAGGAGAGAAGCAGAGTGGGGCTTTGTTTTCAGAATTGAGACGTCAACAGGACAGTGGCTTTGACAGCCCGTTGAACCAAGCAAAATGACGCTGGCGAGTTGTGCTTGGTTTTATAAATGTGTGCGAAAGACTGTCGGGAGTCTACATTTCAATTCAAATTCAGAAAGAGGGTGTTCTTCCTCAAATGTTTACATATTTAACTTTTGGTTTACTTTGTTTCAGCAGAGGTTAAAATTTGCAGGCTAAGTTACAATTATGTATGTATTTTATGAATTTCCACTCTTTGCAGTTTCTATTCCAGTGTATATTTTCTTTATAAGATATCGAGTTAACGTTTGCTTTATTAAAGTCTTGATTTTATTTTAATAAATGAAATAATCATATTACAACAAGCTAAGGAGGGTTTCCTGTCAAAATTATGCCGATTTTAAAAAAACAATCAAAAGCCTTCTCTATTTAGGAGAAATGAACATTGACTCCAGTGTTACCGCTTTATCTGAGTGTAATGCATTATCCTCAGTAGATCAGAAAGTCTTTGCTATTGGGTGGAAACCTTGTTCGTCTATTTTAACTAAAACTAGACTAAAACCTTTTTGAGTATTCATCGACTAAAACTAAACAAAAAAAAACATTTTGAATTTTTGTCAACCAAAGCTATTACGAATCAGTGACTAAAATGTGACTAAAACTAAGAAGCATTTTTGCCCATAAAACGGCTGCCAAAAAACGACACTGGATTCAAGTAATCTATATAAAATTGTGCTGAAATTTCAAATGATCGTGCATACAAAATCGTCACGATGAAATTTGAAGGCAGCATGCAGACTGTAAATTAATAGATTATGCATGAAGAAGTATGTGTAATAGTTGACAGTGGGGTGGTGGTACTTGGAAAACTAAGTACTGTACAGTATTTGGGTCAGAGGTTCTTGTTGCGAAAGTCTTGCGTCAATGTACTGAATGGTTTGAGCAGACAGTTTAAAAATCAAACGAGGACCACAGTTTTTAAACTGCGACATATTGCTGTGACTCTAACTACCAAGCTTTACGTTGTGTAAAATATTACAAGACGGACTCGTTTACTCTTATGTTTTTTTTAGGTAATCATTGACTCACTGGGCGTTTATGAAATCCGAAGTTCTGTTGTGACTGCTGCATGGGCCTCACTTTGCTCCACCCACAACTGCAAACTGATCCAACCAGCCCACGACGATGTATATGATGACGATAAAGTTTGGATAAATTGTGCTCCTGAGGTTAATGCAGACATTCTTCCTCAGACGGACAGTGATTGGTTTTAAACATGATTTTGTGGGTGATCCTCGCAGCCTTTGCAATTTGCATTTTTTTCCGCTTCCCTTACTTATACCAGGATGTCAAATACATCGTGAGAAATCTGCGAATACGACGCAGGGTTTCCCACTACATCCAGAACAATTACACCATCGTGGACTGCTTTTTGGAGAGGGTAAAAAAGCAGCCGAACAAGCCGTTCCTCCTCTTCAAAGATGAGACGTTCACGTACCAGGACGCCGATCGGTTGAGCAACCAAGCCGCGAGGGCGCTCCTGCAAAACGGCTTGGTGAAGCAAGGCGACACGGTGACTTTCTTTGTGACCAACGAGCCCATGTTCGTGTGGCTGTGGTTGGCTGTGTTCAAGATTGGATGTTCGGCGGCTCTACTCAACACTAACATCAGGTCCAAGTCTCTGCTGCACTGCTTCAAGTGCAGCGGCGCTCAAGTCCTGCTAGTGGCTGAAGGTGAAATGTCAACCAAAACAAAATCGGTGCACGTGTATCCATGCGCTGCCCTTCTCTAAGGGTAGGGAATCATAAAACGCACATCGCCGACGACGAGGCGCTCAAACGCCAGTGGGACTATGCGGAAGGAAGATGCGTTCTTGGTTGTAGGCTGAGAAAGTTAGGCTAATTACATTACGCATTTGAAAATCGCTAATGTGAACGAAGGCGTTCAAGTTTTTATCTAGTTGGGGAGGAGCAACTCGTAATCGGACCAAGCGCTGTTCTAGCAAAACTTAAAATATTAGGAAAGGTGAAATGGTGAAAACCAGTTCAGCACTTCAATAACATATGCGTAGTGCGTTGTAATTTACATACACATTAATTTGTAATCAAACAACCTGCTGTTTGTTATTCCGGATATTGATCCTTTTCTTGTTTAAGTGCTATTGTTTACATATTGAAAGTTAATACTTATGTAAATAGTCGCGGTTATACAAATGTTTACTGTTGTGACAATTTGTGGTTGCGACTGCTGCGCGGTGGGGTGAGAGTACTCCGCCACATAGCAAAAGCTCATAATGAAGCAAATACTGTAGTGCAATACAGTATTTCCTTCCAATTGGGATTTAGAATTAGAATCTGATATGTTGATTTCATAATCAGATTAATATGGAGCAAGGAAGGCTGTCCATGTTCAGTACTCTGAACATACAGACCAAAATCAATACATTTTGTTTTGGGTGTCCTTAACAAAAAAAAAAAAAAACATTGCACAAGACAAAACCAAGTTTGTACGGGTTTTTTTCCCTTAAAAAATGCCTTTTTTTCCAGAAAGGAGGTTTACACCAATGAGTAACTTTAAATGTGAAGCCTGTGTTATGTAATCTGACAATGACTGACAAAATTTGAAATAGGGCAGACCAGATTGAAAGGAATACTTGACCCAGCTGTGACAAATGCGTTTCTTGCATTTCCCCTTTTTTCAAGTTTCAAAGGAAAATGATACACGCTCACCCGCCCATTTCTTTGAAAAACTATTTTAGTAGAATTAAACATTTCCTACAGTAGATTAGACATGGTGAATGATTCACACAAGTTTTAGCCTCTTTGGTGTTTCGTCACTGAGTTGCTCAACCATTCCAGAGATTCCCCATGAAAATATGTGAAACATGCGACTTTGTAAATGTCATTTCACTTGCATGCCTCAAATGGGTTCCACTTATTACACCGCAGGGCCTAAACAGAAGAATGAAACTTTGATCAGGAGTCGAAAATAAATCCTCAAGTTTGGCCCGATTAAACTGGTTAATTTTTACTTCATTTTTTAAAATCTGAGATGCAAGTCAACTTTTCTAGTTGTCAATGACACATAAATAAGCCATCTCTGATTAAAATTTGTCATTTGCCAGTGTTGTCAGTATGCATGTGTAGTGGGCTACTTTCTCAAGGCTTTTTTTTTTTTTTTTTAAATCTCCAGACTTGGAGGGGGCGGTGGAGGAGGTGCTCCCAGAGCTTCTGGAGAGGCAGGTGACTGTGTTCTCATTGGGGAGCAAACAAACAAGTTCAGGCATACACGGCTTCATTGACAAGATGCGAAATATGTCCTCTGAACCGCTCGCCGAAGATTTAAGATCGCATTTGAACATGCACAGTCTTGCCTGCTACGTGTATACATCAGGGACAACAGGTGAGCCAAATCGGATTGTTGATGTTCCAATAGAGAGGAAACTACTTTGTCACTTCTTACAACTTCTTCTCTGGAACAGGTTTCCCGAAAGCAGCTGTAATATCTCATACCAAACTGTGGCGCTTCGTGATGATTCTCCGCTCCTGCGGATTGAAATCGGACGATGTGCTATATGTCAGCCTCCCTCTCTATCATAGCGCGGGACTTGCTGGAGTGACAGGAGCCATCGACTTAGGTCTGCACCATCCATTTATTCAAACAGTAGTGCTAAGAGAATATTATTTTCAACGTGCAACTTTGAAGTGAATGCGGCCGAAATGTACAGTGTGACTTTCATGTGGTATGACATGTTCCCAAGCTGTGAACGTCTTTGTAAAAGAACAAATATTCACTTGTGCATCTTATTGATTTGTTTCTTGACTTCATGCAAGTCTATTAAGCAGTGAGACAAAACTGGTGTTAATGGACTCAACTAAATGTCTTTTTTTGTGTCATGTATTCAGGTATCACAGTTGCCCTAAAGAGGAAATTCTCTTCATCGCAGTTCTGGGATGACTGCAGGAAATACAATGTGACTGCCATACAGTACATTGGTGAAATAATGCGTTTTCTCTGTAACACACCAAAGGTAGGCTCACTACTCTTCATCCCATCCATCTATCCATTTTCTGATCCGATTATCTTCACAAGGGTAACGGGCATGCTGGAACCTATCCCAGCTGTAGACGGGGTACAGCCTGAACCGGTTGCCAGCCAGTCGCAGGGCACACGTAGACGAACAACCATCCGCGCTCACACTCACACCGACAGCCAAATGAGAGTGTTCCATTAACCTGCCACGGATGTTTTTGAAACGTGGGTGGAATCCGGAGTACCCGGAGAAAACCCACGCAGGCACGGGGAGATCATGTAAACTCCACGCAGGAAGGCCGGAGCCGGAATCGAGCCCTGCACCTCTGCACTATGAGGCCGATGCACGAACCCACGGGTGTCAAACTCAAGGCCCGGGGGCCAAATGTGGCCCGCCAATTCATTTTATGTGGCCCGCAAAAGCAATTCAAACATGTCAACATCCATGGTGCTTGCTAAAATCTCGACCAACATTTAAAATTCTCATATGTAATCAAAAAAGAGACATATTGTGAGCATTTTCTTGTTACCAAACCCCTAATTACAGTAACTTAAACAAAAGTTGAATAAGCCGTTAATATTGACTTTTTTATTTGGTTTCAGTCATAACGGCCCTCCAAGGGAAACGGTAACTAAAATGTGGCCCATGACAAAAATGAGTTTGACACCCCTGCAATAACCAGTCGACCATCAGCCCGCCTCTTCATCGCTCACTTTTATTTTATTTTATTTTTTATTTGTAGGACAGAGTTTTGTTTTAGGAGTTAGTGGAGGCAAAAATGTATTCGCTACACTCAGCCTTTGCATGTTTTCAGCAATGAACTTTAACCCTTTCAGGGACAGCAGTTACAACAGTGGAAAGCTTATCGTGTTATCAGGTTACGGGGTGCATGGAAGCTTTAATGACATGTAGAATATATTTTGGAAAGAATGAACTAACTTTACCGGGTCTTAAAAGTTTTGGCAGGCACTAATACTCTGGAGTCATAACAATATCTTTATTTTTCTGATAGAAACCCAACGACCGAAGCCACAAAGTCAGAATCGCAATCGGCAACGGCATCAGAGCCAACGTTTGGAGAGATTTCTTAAACCGCTTCGGAAACATTCAAATCTTGGAGCTTTACGGAGCAACAGAGGGTAACATCATTTTAATGAATTACTCTGGAAAGATCGGAGCGGTGGGACGAGACAACTTCTTGCATAAAGTGAGTCTCGACTTCATTCCGTGCTTTTTCTTTAGCTCGACGTCTTAATTCATTAGCTTTGTCTTTTTCCAGTGGAGTTTTCCCTTCGCACTGATCAAGTATGATGTGGAACAGGGAAAACCTCTGAGGGATTCAACGGGTCTTTGCATCCAGGTTCCTAAAGGTGTCTCACTCCCACAGCAATTACCAGAGAGCACTTAATTAAAACTACTTCAAAGGCAATCAAAGACCTTTTTTCCTGATCCAGATCATGATTTGCTAACACTTCAAAATTCCGCGGTATCGCGGCAACTTACTTGATGTCCGCTTTTTATTTTTATTTTGCCGTGAGTATTGGCGGCTGCTATCAGAAGCCTCAACGAGTACCCGATACCTTCAAATAAGGCTTGTATCGGCCCGATATCGATATCTTTTATCGGTACTTGGCCTTCCCTAGTGCACCGTATTATTTTCCAATACCTTTTTTTTTTTTACTGTCAATTTGCCAGGTGAGCCTGGCCTTTTGGTGGCGGAGATATCTGTAAGGGCACCATTTTTGGGCTATGCAAGAGACCTGCAGCAGACCGAAAAAAAGAAGCTGCACGATGTCTTAAAGAAAGGTGATGTCTTCTTCAACACCGGTGACTTGATGCTCATCGACAAAGACGGCTTCGTTTACTTTCATGACCGCATTGGCGACACTTTCAGGTGAGTTTCCTCCTTCCTTCATTGGAGCTGAGTATGTGCAGCCTGATTTTTTTTCTTTCTTTTTTTTTTTGAACAACAGGTGGAAGGGAGAGAATGTTTCCACCAATGAAGTGGCTGATGTCATCACTCAGGTGGACTACATCACTGAGGCCACCGTGTACGGTGTGGAAGTGCCAGGTAATTGTTGCGCCACAATCCTTGAGAAAACATGAAATATGTGCGAGGACACATCTGGCGAAAATGGAAAGGAGTGCCACAGAATAAGCAATTTAATTAAGTTGACTTGATTGTAAGTTTTCCGTGATTGCTGCCCTACTCCCTCCCCCCTAAAATGCTCATTGAAATAGTTTTCTATTTAAAGGCATGACTTATCAATCCTTGGTTTTTGTCTTGGGAATTTGCGCCCCCGTGTGGAGTCGTCTTCTTGAAGTGAGATGCGCCGGTTGAACGTGTCACAACGTGAATAAGAGACCGTGGTGCAGTTTGCAATCAGCAAGCGGCACCACCATAGCACGTACACCAACTAAATGAGCGTGACCCTACATTTTAATGCATAAGAATGCTTAAGAAGATCCAAATGATGTTACTGATATTGTCTGTGAGCTTGCATTTTTACTTTTCATCATTTCGTCTTCATCATGTATTTGTGAACACGTTGCTGCGGCTTCACTGTGACTCACAGCAGGAAGCAACATTTCGTAAAAGCAGTCATGAATTTCACGTGGCTCAACCTGATCTCTTATATATATATATATATATATATATATATATATATATATATATATATATATATGTACTGTATATAAAAACCGTGAACTCCCCCCTAGGAATTTTTGTGTAAGTGTATGTGGGTAGCAGCATGTTTAAAATATGTAAACAGTGATTATACTTTACAACTTTGAGACAACGACAACAGCAGTACACATATTTACTTAAATATTTAATGATAAAACCTTATCCAGTAATTAACATTCATCAGCATTGCCTTCTGAGTGAGGCAAAGAGACGTGTGTGGCGTAGAAGTTGAGCGATCTGGGCTGAAAATGAGTTCCACTCCGACCCTGCACTCAATGCATGCATACGCAGTATACAGTATTTCCAGTATATAACAACGGCCAACGGTTGTTTTACTGAGCAAATAAGTACACCGTACATGTATTTTTTTCGGTTCACAGGCAATGAGGGCAGAATAGGCATGGCGGCCATAGCTCTAAAAGATGGACATACATTTGATTCCGAAGGCGTCTTCAAGCACCTTGAAAGCTTCTTGCCAGCCTATGCCAGGCCACGTTTTATAAGGATTCAGGTATTCGAAGCATCTGGTTACCAAATGAGGCGTATTTGCAAATAATATTAAATTCCACTTTCATGGCAGAGCTCCTTGGATGTCACGGGAACGTTCAAGCTTATGAAGGCGGGGCTGGTTAAGGAAGGCTTCAACCCCTCTGCTATCCCAGATCCACTTTATTTTCTGGACGACAGGGAGAAGAAATTTGTTCCACTTACAATGGATATAGTCCATGCAGTTTTATCAGGCAAAATCAAAATATAACACTTTTTTGTGCATGTGTGTATGTGTGTGTGTGTTTAATGCTCATGTGTTTGTGCGTATGAGCTCGCCCTCCCTCCCTCCATCAATCATCAGACAAACAAGGCTCAGTTTCTCAACTTGCCATTCCTCTTCCTTGTCTTCCTCCTGCAGATTTATGACAACTTCCCGCTCCACGACGATATTAATATTTTCAAACCTTTTTTTTCTAATCACATGACGATATGTGCAATATTTGCAACAAAAAGTGACCTGGAATAACCCCTTGCTTACAAATTGGTGTCTGAATATGAGAAGAGGGAGTGGTGTTTTGTTCACCACATCACACCATCAATATTAAAATTCTGGGGTAGACCTTTTTTTAAAACATTCTTTGTCGCCTTGGTGCTTCTTTTCAGTTAGATCATCATTATATTAGCTTGACTTTTTAAACATTATTTTAAGTTACATTTAAAAGTGAATTGCTGGGGCAAAAAGTGAAAAGTTCTTCAAAAAGAAAGCTTAAATATGTTATTGTCACACCCAGTTTTTTTTTTTACTGTAAAACTAAATATAAAACTAAGAATTATATCCATTTATTGAAAAACCACCATAGCTTAGCCTTTCAATCAGCTAGCTTAATGCTAATTAGCATCTATGATGTGGCGTTTGAACCTTTCAGACGGCATATTGAAAACGCACGGTGCAGCTACAACATATTCAGTGACAATATTAGTGGCCTCTGAAATCAAATTGGATTGGCAACGGGCCGGCAGTTAAAAGGAAGATGGAGAAGGAAAGGGCGGAATAACGCGCGCCAATTTTCTCGAGTGGGCGTGGTCAGTGATCTGACACCTCGAAAATAGGCGTAAAGTAGGTGTGTACAAGTCTCGCGGCTGAACTTTGGCACCGATGTTCCACGCGCACTCGCGCAATACAAGACTGTACCTCAGTCGTAAGCGCGCTGCTGGCAGCTCCTCCGATTCGCGATGTTCATCTGGCTGACTGTCGTGGGCGGCTTGGTGCTCATCCTCAGGACTCGCTTCCCATATTGGCTTGACGACTGCGTGTACATCCTGCGGAGCCTCCTGCTCGCCGCCAGGCTCATCATGTATAAGAGGAGCAAGCCGTTCCACGCCGTCTTGGACGCCTTTCTGGCGGCGGCCCGGAGACACCCGGCCAAGACCTTCCTGCACTTTGAGGGGGAGCGCTTCTCTTACGGGGAGGTGGACCGGCGCAGCAACCGGGTGGCCCGGGTGCTGAGGCAGGAGGCGCACCTGCGAGAGGGGGACACGGTGGCGCTCTTTCTGGGCAACGAGCCCAACCTTGTCTGGACCTGGCTGGGACTCGCCAAACTGGGTTGTCCGGTTGCCCTGCTTAATTTCAACATCCGAGCTAAGTCTCTGCTGCACTGTTTCTCCTGCTGCGGGGCCAAAGTGCTCGTGACGTCGGCAGGTGAGTTGCGTGATATGCGTGGGACACTTCATTAGGTACACTTGCACTGTTCTAGCACAGTGGTTTTCAATCTTTTTTCTCCTTCTGTAGCGGAAAGCATTTTTGGATGAATTATGATGATGATTATTATTAATAATAACCTGAAGGTAGCGGAAAGCATTTTTGGATGAATTATGATGATGGTGATTATTATTAATAATAACCTGAAACAGAGCGCTGTGTCACCAGGCTCTGTATATTAAAACTCTTGCAGTAACTATTTGGAAATAAAAAGATATAACACAAGGAAAATATACATCTTATCTCAGCAGTTTATGAAACATTGCAACCTCCTTTTACGATATTATTTTATGACAGGTATTGCGCTGAGTAGGAGACAGTTCTGTTTTTCACTTTTGATCTCCGCTTTTGTCAGCTTACATACGGCGAAGAAGGAATTAAATTTACCACTGACATTTAAAACTCTGAACAGTTCCTGGAGAACTAGAATGTTCGTCCCGGTTCCACTTGATTCTTGATTCTCGATGCACAACTCTACTTAGTAGTATGGATAACTTTGGCGATGGGCGCCTTTTAATGGCTGCTTGAGCACCTGACCCCCAAAATGTTTGTGCACGTGCCTGATGCATAAAAATGAAGAAGAGCTTCACTCAACTACTGCGACTCGGTAATTTTTGCAGAAGAGAAAGCATATCTGTATTCTTTGCATATGCAAAGTGGCTGTGCTATTTACAATGGGTGAGTGGGTGGTGAGTCCAGGTTTTCACGTGTTTATTCAGCAGCCTGACAGCAGTCGGCAGGAACGAGCTGCAGTACCTCTCCCTCTAAGATACTAACAAGTTGACTTTTGATATATACATTTTTATTTAACACTATGACAATTGATGAAGATGATAATTCGTGGCAATGTGGAAAACTAGCGCGCTACAGTGCTAACTGCTGCCAAGCAGGACTTACTCGCTCAGATTTTTTATTTTTTTTTTACCTTCAGTATCAGTGGCTGTGACCAGTAGCTTCCATGAAGACCCCGATACCTTAAAACAGTAACGGATACGGATACCTGGCATGGGAACTCGCTCATACTTGTTTTTCAGGAATAATTGGAAAATAGACTGCTAGCATGCTAATTTTGCCGTTTGTTTATTTCTTGTCTGTTGTTTTTCAGGAAGAAATGTTTCCTTGGAAAGATAACCTGTATTCTGATCATTCGGTGACATGGTTTCCTTCTTGGAAAGATAAAGTGTATTCTGATCATTCGGTGACATGACATGACGTGTGTGTGTGTGTGCGTGTGTGTGCGTGTGTGTGTGTGTGTGTTTTGACAGAGCTACAGGATGCCGTGGAGGAAGTCTTACCTGCTCTGAGAGAGCAGGGAGTCAGCGTGTACTTCCTATCAGAGACGCGTAATATTCAGGGTGTCAATTTCTTGGCCGACAAGATCTCCAAGGCCTCGGACCAACCTCTGTCCAGAGACCTCAGAGCCAATGTTACCTACAGGAGCACTGCTTTGTACATCTACACGTCGGGAACCACTGGTATAAACGAGACAACGTCCACAATTCTCTGTTCTGTTCAAACCTGCAAATAGTTGGAATTTGTGACTCTTGGTGGTGATGTCACTCATGAGTGTGTTTCAGACTTTTACAGGAAAAAAAAGAACAAAAATACTGTGATTAAAGTCTTCCTTCTTAGGTCAACACTCCACGACATGTTTGAGCCATGAAAATATATACAATTAAAGTCTCGGGTTGCTAGAATATATTCCACGCATATTTTTACACACTGTGACAATGAGGCGCTCTAAAACAGTCATGCTAGCGTGAAGCCCCTGTTACGCATCTAAAAGTAGTGTTAGCTCTGTGATCCGCTCCTTTAAGTCTACCTTCCACCCTCCAGCAAGGTTCTGACACTGTTGTTGATATTCTTCTGTCTGCAATAGGTTTGCCCAAAGCGGCGATAATCACGCACGAGAGGATGTGGGCCGCATCCTTCCTTCAGTCACTGTGCGGCGTCACAAGAGACGATGTCTTCTACATCAACCTGCCGCTCTACCACAGCTCAGGCTTCCTCATCGGGTTAGCGGGCTGCATTGAGAGAGGTCATGACCTTTTCTAGTTGACAGACAGACACACACACACACACACACACACACACACACACACACACACATACACATACATACATACATACAAATATCTGTATATATATACCTCTACTTACGAACGCCTCTTCATACGAAATTTTCAAGTTACGAAACGCCTCAACAGGAAAATGTTGCCTCTTGTTACGAAAGAAATTTCACGATAGAAAGGTAAACATACAGTATGGGCTGCTACTCGCGGGCTCCGAGTTTCCTGAACGCAACATAATTATAGCTGCTCTGCCATTGGCTATGACCTAGCATCTTCCTGGCATCCCATTGGCTAAGAGAGACCTCTACCGTATGTGTCTATGTGTGTAAATAGATAGGCATGTGTTTATGCAGCGTCCTCGTCATTCGCCATTCCGACAGTTTTACGCAAATGTGAATCACCAGTCGGGCGATCGCTCGCTATGCTGATGTTTACCTTTTACATTTTCGAAGGTTTGTTAAAAGCCCGACAAAAGCAAACGTCCTTGGATCAGGCAAAAACGACTTCTGAGAGAGAACATGAACTAAAGAGGGCAAAAAACGATGAGGACACGTTAAAAGTAAAATGACCATCATTTTTATTCAATACTTTGTTTTTTACATTATGCACAACTGTCATTTAGTGTGCAATAATCTAATTGTAACATGCATTTGTGACATATTTTGATGCATTTTTATGCTTTAGAAAACATTTTTGTCTGAATTTTGGAGGGGGCTTAGAACGGATTAGGGCATTTACATGGAAAACGCGTCTCCACTTACGAAATTTTCTAGTTATGGAATTTCTTCCAGAACCAATTAATTTCATAAGTAGAGGTATTGTGAATGCCAGTGTGCACACCATTTGGATGTTTTTGTACTGAAGTGAGTGTTGATGTGGGCGGCAGGTATAACAGTCGTGCTGAAGAGGAAGTTCTCCGCTTCTCAGTTCTGGGATGACTGCAGGGAGCACAACGTGACCGTGATTCAGTATATCGGCGAGACCATGCGTTACCTCTGCAACACGCCCAAGGTCAGCTCCATTCCACAAGTCCTTCTCGTCTCCCGAGACGATCTCAATCTCTGAAGGTCTGACTCGATGTGGACGTTGTTCCTTCTTGCAGAGGGACAATGAGAAGGAGCACAAAGTATGCATCGCAATAGGCAACGGCGTCCGCGCTGACATCTGGTCTGAGTTTCTGAGGCGCTTCGGCGACATTAAAGTAAAGGAGCTGTACGCAGCTACGGAGGGAAACATCGGATTTATTAACTACTCTTCCAAGGTCGGCGCTGTGGGACGAATCAATTTTTTACACAGGGTAGGAAAAACATCTTTTTCCTATCGGAATCTTTATTTTGTTGAACAATATTATCATCAACACAAGACCATCGTTGTCCTCGAGCTTTGTCCGAGAAACATCCTCAAATGTCAATTTCTCTCTCCAGTTAATCTTCCCATACATGTTGATCAAGTTTGACATTGAGAAGGAGGAGCCTGTCCGAAACTCACAGGGTCTTTGCGTCGAGGCAGCCACAGGTGGGAAGCACACACTTTTAAAACATGTCATGTCCACCAGTCATCTTGAATGTTTGGTTCATGAACATTTCAAAAGGTCGCGTACACCTCTTATGTCGGCGCTCGCTACATGTTGCGTGACCGTCTCTGCCAGGTGAGACGGGCCTCCTGGTGGGGAAGGTGACTCGGCGGTCGCCCTTCGTGGGCTACGCGGGCAACGACCAGCAGACGGAGCAGAAGAGGCTCCGCAACGTGTTGAAAAAAGGCGACTTGTACTTCAACACGGGAGATTTGCTGCGCTTTGACGAG